ATCATAACATCTCTTGTGTCTTGTGTGTTCGAGTCAGTGTGAATGGAGTTTATAGACTCAGGGTTGGAGCAATGAAAGAAAGACATTTGTGAGCAGTAGTCATTTCAGTAGCATTTTATTCACCGGCTGTGGGAGGGTGCATAATATTAGGATGAGATGAACTTTCTCCCTTTCACACACTCAGACGGTCTGACACACATACACACTCGGTTTCTGTCCTACCCCCAACCGCAGTTGTCTGAATTCCTGCGCCTTCAGGATTTTTTTTTTTTTAGTTTGCACTCATTCTTAGTGGAATGCTGTCACTGTTATCTTGTTATTACAGCAGCGATAAACCATCTTGGAGTAATTATTTTCGTGTGAGGTGGAGATTTTGAATACGTCCCGCGCTGATGTCACTGTGAAGCCCGCAAGCAACTTAGTCGAGCCAACTCAAACGATCTGAGTCAACTGAATCATCAGAACTGTGCTCCCACACTCGGTTGCGTTACATTTGACTCAGACTGGAATCCAACCGAAATCAGGCTTGTTTTTAATTCAAATAATTAGCATACATTAGTCGGAAAGTGTTTTTTTATTTTTTCTCCCTCAAACCCTTACAGCTGAGATCTACTCGGCCCATGGCTTGACTAGAGAAAAAGCTATTTCCACTTTCCATTATTTATTAATACCTCTTTGTTGTTGCTCATGTCCTAATCTCATTTCCTTTAGTCATTAGCGTTGTTCGACATCAAACACAGCTGCTAGAGCAATGAGCGTAGGGGAGAAAGGGGGGAGAGAAGTATGGTTATTGCTGTTGGACACTCACTAAAGACCCTTTTTAACAATGCTCGTCGCAGTGAAATATTTTTCTATTGCGCTGTTAAAATGCTCAATATGGAGCAATATAGTGTTTTGAATAAAGTGCAGCTTTGATGTACTATACATCCTGCTGTCATGGGTTTGTTGCTCTGATTGAAACCGACTGGGGGGAAAAAAGCCACGTCTTGGAAAAGGATGTGTCGTTGGTTGTGTGCGTGCGACTTCTGGTGACCTCTTCGACAATAACATCTTCTGTCTCAGCCTCCCTGGGAGAGATTAGCAACACATGAACTCATGGTCCCATGATGCTTTTTTCATTTGCTTCCTACCTATTCATCACCATAACACTCTCCTATGGCATTGTAGTGGGATGCAGTCCTTCGTGCATTCTCATGCTAATGCTGTTGCCCTGTGTCTCTCCGCAAGCTAATGCTATGTTATGCTAATGTATTGTCATGCTAATGTCACGATATAGCAAGAAATGGCAACCAGAACGATATAAGGAGATTCCCACTTCTACAAAAGCCTTCTTTGTCCGTTTCTCTTCACTAAAGCTGTCATAACTTTTCATGCATTTCCACACTGAATACAACACCACTGTGTTTCCTGTATGTATCGTTGCCATTTTGATATATGATAAATATATATAATATAAAAATCAATTCACACCTTCCTGCTACTAAAATGCTAATTGGCTGCAGCTGCTGTCACTTTATCTTGACGTAAACAAATCATTTTCTAGGCTGTTTTTAGAGTTCCCATAGGGCAAAAAACGTACAGAGTAACTGTGTGGCACCTAATTGGCTAAAGAAGGTGAAAATGGACAGACTGCGCTGGCATTTGCTTGTTAGGTTTTGTCTTGGACATCTCAACACGACCGACCTGGAAGTCAGGATTTCATGGGAATGCCACAAAAGTTCAGCATAAACAACTGTCCAACTTGCAAACTAGATTTTTCCCCAAAAAATGGTCCCATAATTTAGAACTGTCTTTTAGCGAAGTATCAGAAATATATGCACAGAAACCGAGCATAATGGTTATCAAAGAAGTGTTTGACTGTTTCTATCTGTGGCAATAGTTTGTACTGACCTTTTTCTTCTTGTCTGAATGTTTCCACAGGATGACAGTGATGGGATCCCGTGGTCAGAGGAGCGGGTTATGCGAAAGGTGCTTTACCTCTCTCTAAAGGAGTTTAGGAGTGCACAGAAACGGCAGCTGGATGACGGAACCACAAACTCCAACGGTAAGTTCATATATATTTGTAGCTATCCACTTAACCACAGTGTGATTAGTTAATTAATAGTGGTAATTTAGTGTATTCAATGCCACATGATGAATAACAGGAAATAAAGCATACAGTACCAGTTCAAACCACTGGAATACAATAATTGTAACAAACATTAGTGTTAAATTCTGCCTGAAGTTAAGACTGAAGCCAGATCTTTGAGCATATAATGCCATTTCAGGCCAGTTTAAGTTTATTTAAATTATTTTCTTATAGCAGTTTAGATTGGAAGTGTGATACATTATTTGTCACTCATCCAGTAATCTTTATTTAGCTGAAATGAGGTCTTTGCATAGAGTTACATTTTAAATGAAATAAAATGAATTGCTTCTCTCACAGTGCACTGTAAACAGTCCTGCACCGATTAAAGGATATCTTGAAATGTAGCAATTTGACATGTTGAAAACTTTCACTTTGATTTGACGAAATGAAAAAAGCATAGAAACGGCTGCACTAGCATTTTGTGGAGTTAAATGTCAGAGTTGCCAATTTCGTCTGGCTTGGCTGACATTAGCGTCTCAGTCTAGCTCCTCATTCCTTTAATTGCAGGCGACAGTTTTATTAGTCTGTTTGTATGTGAAGTCTAAGCATGTTTTCTTTGACGACGGAACCCGATTTGACTTAAAATGGAGAGAATCCGATGGGACCAGATGATCAAGGACTCTCATTTGCTGTTTGTTGTGGGGCAGTGGGCAGCAAGCTGCAGTCTTTCACTTTGCTGGTTCGGTGTCACATCCTCAAAGGAACCCTTGAACTGAAAGTTTTTTCCCCATTTATTTTCAAATGTTGTTTATGCATCAAACAGAGGCACTCTGATGAGGTCCTCCACAGTGCAACACACAAGAAGAACATGTGTAAAAGTGTTGTTAATCTCTTTTAGGTTAGGCATTTACATTAACCCTTGTGTCCAGACGCATTAAAACATGGACCAATAGAAACCCTGACATGAATTAATACATGAAGTTGCTTAGTTAGACAGAAATCCAATTCCAGGTGGAAGCCCGCTATAGTAACAGTTGAGGGATTTTGCTGTTGTGCCGTGTAAACCTGAAACAACACAAGGAAGAGTGAGAGCACAGGGGGATGAACGGCTTGTTTTGAACCAAGCTGCCACCATGTCTTTGTTTGACACTGGTGCTCCCACACAAAAAAAACCCTCAGCCAGCCAACAGCGGAGATTTGAACTTCACACGTGCCTCAGAAGCTATTCTCAGCTGACATTAACACAACCCAGACACCGAAAGAAAGGAAAGTCATCCAGCAATCCAAGCTAGGCAGAAAGGGGAGACAGGCAGACAGACAGACAGGAGGGAAGGCTCTTTTGAAATGTAGCTTATCTTTTATACCTAGCGTTTTTTTTCCCGTCCTTATTTTTCTCATGTTTTCTTTATTATATATTTTTCCACACCTTAATTTCTTCTCTCTACGTCTGTGCCGAGTGCCCCCTCCCCTCCCTGTAGCTAGTGTATCTCTGTGTGTCTGTCTGGCATCTCATAGCTGCCACTCCAGAGCTCCTCAGGGCCTTTTAAGCCGCCGCGGGTAGCTGACCTTATCGCCTGAATAAAAATGACTCATTAGAAAGCGTCGACGGCCCGTCGTGCCGGGGGTAACGACAGCAGCCCGCGCTGACACAAAAGGGAGCCGGGCTGAATAGACGGGCCCTGCTGTTTTAGAGCACCGTGGGTTAGCAGGGCTTTGGAGGGTTGTACGAGCAGCACAGTTTCCCCGTCTCGCATAGATGTTGTGGTGAAACTGTCAGCCATTTTGGAAGATCACACTCAGCGTGCGCTACATCCTGAATGGGCAGCCCCTGCTGTTTTAGAGGACTGTGGGTTAGAGAGTCTGGGCTTATGTTGGAGCCAGACATGTGCCACAGTTTTCAGTATCACACAGGCATTATTGTGAAACTATCAGCCATTTTGGAGAGAGCCAGACCATGCATGTACATGGTCATTAAATATGTCACGGATAGAGCTGGAGAAGATGACGGATTAGAGATAACTGTCATATCTAAATCATTAGTCGGTTAATGACTTGACTGTCAGAAAATTAATATGGCAAATTTTAATAATTGTATAATTACATGAGCAAATACATTGGCTCCAGCTTCGTAAATGTTAGAAGCATTGCATTTCATTTTTTGACATCATAAATTTAATAATTTTGAGTTTCGGAGTGTTTGTTGGACAAAATAGCCAATCGCCTTGGGCTCTGGGAAATTGTGATGGGCATTATTTAGTATTTTCTAATAAATTTTTTTGCTATTTTACAGTGTGAAAGAATGGCTGCAACTAACAATTATTTTCATTATCAGTTATTCTGATGATTATTTTCTGAACTAATCAGTGAATCGTTTGTTCAACAGTGTCACAAAATGGTGAAAAGTGCTCATTTAAAGACTCCAATGTTATGTCTAGAAATATCTTTTTTTGTAAGACTAAGAATTGTTGTTTTTCTGGTTACCGTATCGTTTTTATCTACGGGGGAATGGGAAGGTGTCGTCTGACTGAAGGAGGGTACAGCAATACCTGGCTGTAAGCCTCTGTAAAAAAAAAAAAAAAAA